GCAGTCGCGATGTGTACTGTCGGCACAGTTGAACGTCTGTTGAAGATGGTGCGTTGACCATGAAATTGCATAGAAGCAGCATAGTTGTAATTAGAACCCATGTTAGGGTTTTTATTATTTGGGAATGTTAAAGAGGGTCCGTTTCATTACAAATAAGTTAGCTCTTGTGCTTAATGACCAGGGCATTCCGAATTCAAGAGCTTATAAACGCCTGGAATGATGTGATTTCGTCTGTTGTGTTCTGAGTGTGCGGTGATTATGATTACACGGTATGAAGCCTGTGGGGTTGTGATGGAGGAGTACAGTCAGGCCAACGTCAGTGAATACTCGATAGCAATTTCTTGGGCGGTAGCAGCTCTGAAACAATGAATGAATGAATGATCCTACCGAGCTCACGGTGGTTGGAATTGGTCGGGTGCGCGGCAAACTTGAATCGAACGCAGTGTTGGACGATATTCTAGATGCATTTTGCTGCATCTGTTTCAGCGCATACCGCAGTCTACATAAAAGAAGCACAAATGATTCAAATGGTCGTGGAAAGTATTGTCCATCTGTTGATAGTCTGGGGTTGTGATGGAGGAGTACAGTCAGGCCAACGTCAGTGAATACTCGATAGCAATTTCTTGGGCGGTAGCAGCTCTGAAACAATGAATGAATGAATGATCCTACCGAGCTCACGGTGGTTGGAATTGGTCGGGTGCGCGGCAAACTTGAATCGAACGCAGTGTTGGACGATATTCTAGATGCATTTTGCTGCATCTGTTTCAGCGCATACCGCAGTCTACATAAAAGAAGCACAAATGATTCAAATGGTCGTGGAAAGTATTGTCCATCTGTTGATAGTCTCAGTAACTTCGCGACACATCAATTTCCCATCTCAGTGGCTAACAGCAAACTCTGGGAAACTGCTCTGAGCGCCGCGATGGTGTCGACTGGGAGCCTGCACACATGTAACCACTAATACGTGAAACGAGCGGTCTCTGTGTGCGACCTTGAGCCACCAGGCGAAGATGAACATGTGGTTGCGACAATATCGGTGGACGACAGATATTTGACAGTAGTAGTCTGGGTATGACGTAGTCGTACGCCGGCAGGTTCCCGCGTGTCCGGGTTCAATTAGTTTTCAGCGTCGTCGGCCGACCGGTCGCCCTCAAACTAAAGAACCAGACGAATAATTTGCTCTGCTCGTACTGCTGCTGTTTTAGCCCAACAGAGCCATGAATCTCAACGAAACGTTCGATGTTGAGATACCGTTCGTAACATCAAGTGCGTCTTGCTCTTTGGAACCATTTCAACTAAGCTACGCTTCCGTGTAACTGATACGAAGCCAAAAAGACATGGACACATTGCTCCACGCAGACTTTCGAGCACCGTAGATGCCCTTCGTTTAGCCCAGAGTATTTCTCGAAAGGGTGAACTGTTCTGAATTACATTCCCAGTTTGCATGCAGATTTCAGGATACAGAGGTTGGGGTTGTTCGATATAACACGTATCCGAAACACTACATTTCTATCACAGCTTCAGAATATAAACGAGAGATTCAGTCGAGTCTCCGTGAAAACCAGATTCATTCGCAAGTGGGAGTATTTCTCGAAAACAGTCCAATTTGGGCTCAAGTAGAACAATGTTGACGGAAACTCGGGGCTGCGCCTACCTGATGAGCCCCAATATGGGCGAAACCGGTCGTGGGCTGTCGAAGAGTCTTCAGCAACCTTGTGAGTAGTTTCCTTTATGAAAATATACTGCGATATCTCGAATATCGTGCCTACTGAAACATCAGGCGGCCTGTGTGCAGCACATTCAGTTGTAGAATATCATAAACGAGAGATTCAGTCGTATCTCTCGTGAAAAACCAAACGAGTGTATTTATCTGGGGCTTGTTTTCCGAGTAGTTCCAAGAAAATTCCACCCCGTTGAAGAGCTCGGCGGAATGCCCATTGTAACTGTCGACCTGACTCTCACACGGAGATCATATTATACATAACTAAGTAGTGCCTTCAAGGCATTCGATGAAGAGACCGACAAGCATGTTTTCCTTCAAAATACGATCACAGAAGAGTAAGATAGGTAGAAGGTGGGCTAGCGCCGGTGCAAAATACTTAAAATTGACTGGAATTTCAAGACTCAACGATCACGAAAGGCTTCATTAAACACTACGAAGTTGACCGCCCAGCTTTGTCGTCGTCGCACTGCACACCCCCCGTGCAACCCAAATGAAGCATCGATGTTGAGATTCTGCCAGGTTGCCTAACCATAGACGGCAGAAGTCAAGATGCTGCGAACCACGGACCTTCGGGTCAGTAAGTTCGCGTCTTAACCTCTGACCTATCTTGGCCTCACAGAATGTGCAACACCGAATACTCTAGTCGATCATTTATGAAGTGAAGCTTCCCAACGAACACGAGGCCGATCGATATAGTCAGCTATAAATAAATTCTAGTCTTGAGCACACTGCGTGCCACACGATTCGCACCCCACCGGCTGGTGGGTCCTCTTTGTGCGAACATTCTGAAGTTTACCCAAGACAAGCCAGGGAATTTTATTTCAAGGGTTTCAAACACCAGGTGCGACACTCAAAGTCACCCAGCAATGGTTTAGCGTCCGTGATTTTGCAAGCATTTCCTAGCCCAATGACACGTGGCTGGGGTTCGCCGAAGAGTTTACATGATATAGAGAGCCTCCGCATGTGTTTTTAGAGGTTTGGTAAACAGCGAACGAGGTCAAGTGAATGAGTAAATAGGTCGACCGTGTTTTAAGTCAGAGGCCCAATCAGTGAAGTCACTTTCATCTACTCGACTTAATCAGTGCTGAATGTCAATCGAATATGTTTGTTAGTTTGGGTGCAAGATGAAGACTTATGACCAAATATCGCTGAAACCATATCTGCGTCTTCGGATGAGTTGCTGGATGGGTTAAGACGGCGCTAGTGCCCGCGTATCTTTGAAATTGGTGTATGGGGTTTATGGCATGACAGAGTTGTTTTGCTGAACATCTCTTGTAGAAAAATACTCTGTATCACCTCGGTGACAGGGATCCTTGTGGCACGTGAACCCAGGCGAATAGGGCTTTCAGTTGCTGCTATTTTATTTAGCTGTCTTCATTACCAAGCAACTAGTTCATATCCAATCGTAGCTCCGGTTGCAGTGAAGTTCCTGGAGGAACATAAGTCCACATACGCTATCGCAACCAACACCGATGTTCCGGCCCTACTTGATATGACAGCACAGAAGGGTGAGAAAAAAGTTGCTGACTTTTCAGGTAATCGGACAGACGTTGGTTCTTCTCAAAACCGTTGATTAACTGATGTCTATGCTACGTTAACATAACAACTCCCACAAAGATTGGTATGTCCGTTATTCGGGGGTGTATTGAACTCAACTCGCAATGTGGTTTGAAAGGTCGCAATGTAACAGTCCGAAGCCCATATGTACATTTACACGATCATTCCTACTTTCAGATTCAGGTTGTTTGAGTGAAGCCTCCCCCTATCCACAATAAAATACGGTGGAAGCTTATGACAGCAAAGCTTCTGGAATGGGGAAGAGTCATTGCAGTGTTCCAGTCATCATTGTTTAGCATAACAGCGAAGAACCTCGGCAATGGACAGTTATGGAAAACCACAAAACTCAGTTCGGTAGTGACCTTCATCTACCATACAACGTATCGCAACCTGCTTTCGAAAGCCCAGATTACAGCCTCGAAAATTTGTCCAGCTGTGACAACTCTTCCGGGTGTAGTATGCATACGAAACGTGAAGATACCACCAAGCTTGGACAAGAACAATCGTGAGACCGAGCGCAGTTCGAAATTCCTGGTTAGCAGTTCTAATCTCAATTGATGGGCTTCCTCGTGCTCGCAATTTGAACTGGTGCAACAAATACAACGGCTCATTACGTTTGATGCAGTTTACGGTGGCTCATCTCGGTTGGCGTTATTGGTATTGCCTGCGTCTCTCTCGGCTTCTTCGGCTTAGTAGCGCAGTAAGAGCCTAACACGAAAAATCGGCACCAGAAAAAAAAACGCAGTAATGGTGGCCCAGCCTGAATTTTCTTTATATCGCCAAACGTACGATCACAAACAATCGTTCGCCAAGTCCTGGACGGGTCCTTTATTTTCCACACATTTTGTCGGGTGTACCATAAGTGTTCTTGCGTACAAGGTTGAGCTGGTAGCAGATTTCTCAGCATATCATGGGGCATGTAATTCGGCGCATGGACTAATAATGGCCACACTATGCTACGTTTCTGTTGCACTGGCAGAGAACTGTCAGAGTCAGGAAACTAACTTGTCCAAATGGGCTTTCATTGGATCAGTCGTCGAAGCGTGCATTCACCGTCCATTTCCAGTTGTATTGGCCAGAAAAGAATCTACCGAGACCGCTCGTCTTCTTGCATCTCGGTTATGATAGAATTAAGTAGTTTTGATGGGAAACTTTCTTCACATAACTTTACCAGAATTTGTATAAGTTGAGGTCAAGATGGCTCAGCGGTTATAGCGCGAAATTACCGTGGTACCGACACAACCTCTGCATCTCGACTGCTCCTGTCCAGGCTTCGGGCAAGCCGGCAATATCTGAACTTCTTGTGGCATAAAACACACCTCGGTGCCTAGCTGCCATGCCACCCGAAGGAAGAACGAGGGCTGAGCTACTGCCAGGTTGCCCAAGCCTAGATAGGGGAAGTTGAGAGGCAGAGGTCGGGTTTAAACCACGGACCTTTCTGTCAGTAAATTAACGCTCTAACCACTTGAGCTTCTCATAAAAGTTAGGTACCGGGAGGGTGTTAAAGCTGGACAACTATTATACAGGGGCTGGGAAATCGGTTCAGCATAATAGAATGCGTAAGATGAGGGGCATTTTCGCTCCTCGATGAAGACTATCCACTCAAACGATGGGATTACATCAACGAAACTGCACGGAACTGACAGTTCAATGGAATGAAATATCTTATTGCGACCGTGCTTTTGAACAGAAAACCTCACGAAGTGAATGAAAAACAGTGTATTGTCTCAAAAGTGACGCCGGTGGAAACAGGGACGCCGAAGGTACGCACTATTTATCCGGAAACGGGATGCGACTGCAAAGTCGCCTGCAGAAAACAGCGGCCAGTCAGGTTAGAAGACAACAACAGGCATTATGTACAACGTGAATCAGTGCGGGATGGGATGAGCTCAAACAACCTTGTACCGTCCGCGACTGGACGCACTTCCGGACTGCTGTGAAACGGGGAATGGAGGAGAAAAGAGTTCATTGAGTTCAAACTACAGTGATCAAACCAAAGGTTGAGTTAAGCCGAAGAATAAAGATACTACTGATAACAACAATAATAATTTTAATTCCTGGTGAGTCAGACGGACTTAACCACTCTTTATTTGATTAGTATCGAGAGAGTTCCCACCATGGTGGTGGACAGAAGCATAGTTTGCCTTCACATTGATCAACTCCGTTGAAGTATTTAGATAAATGGGCATTATGGTGCGCACAGAGCAATATGTGGAGCAAGAGGAGTGTTGTCACATCTCAACAGAAGAGTATCCTCACGACGGAAACGAACAAATCCTTCAGCCATAAGCTACAGCGATTTTCCGTACAAGCGAGAGGGCAGACAACGAGAAGCTGTTTCATGTCTGGCTTTGGCATAACGCACCTTTGGAAGTCATATTGAATGGTTTGCTGAAGTCCTCACGGTCTAGTCATGATACAAATTGCTATGCAGAGTGAACCCGTATTCAAGCTCATTAGAATTAGGAAAATGAGTTGTGAAAAGGTGTACAAATGTGGGTTCGGCTGCAGTAGCATGTCAATCAAGAGAACAGTATGATAAATATGCTTCCTAATATTTCGACATGAGATCAAATAAAGTGTATGATAGTATCCTGTCTGGCGGGGCATACTACTCATAAGGTGGCTGTAAACTCTTCGACAGTCCACGAAACACAATAACACGGTATTGTCTGGCTAGGCGGACAGCCTTCTTGTTTTCCCAACGAGTAACAATACAGAGAACGGTTTTTAGAATGAACTGACATCCCATCTTGGATACAAAAAACATTCGGTAGCGTCCGAAGTTTTACCGCCAAAATGCCACTCAAGAGAAGCGAGACGGAACCCACAGAGACTCAGTCAGTACCCCTTTATGTTAGCTGGGCTGGATGTCAAATGAACAGCTAAAAACCAGTCTTCTGAAGGCGATAGTAGAGGAGGGAAGTGTAATCTTTGATGCTTTAACGCCCCCAGGAAGGGGATATTTGTGAAATTTGAAGTTGCATCAAAGTAGCAAATATACCAGTTAGACGTGTGTGTGTGTGTGTGTGGGTTTATTCGCCCAAATAACTTCAAAGATAACACAACGAAGGCACTTGAGAAGTTTTCAGCATACAGTTCCAAGATTTCTCAATCCACCACACAGTTGTACGATGGGTCAAATCGAACATCTCATTGTTACTTTGAATCTTGTGAGGTCGACAGCTAGTGTCTACCAGTTTTATGGGCAAATAAGGATTGCGAAACAATCCCATTTTCTTTCAAACAGGATACGCTTTTGTTTAGTTGTTTTGACCGAACTGCGCGGTCAAGCAGCACGGAAGGCTAAAACACATTGCCACACAGGACTGCATGGGTGTCCATCAATGCTGGTCTCCCCATACGTACACAAATAGGTCAGGACTAGGATTTCCAGCTTCCCATACGACGAATGCAACGTATTCTTGCAAACGAGCCAGAGATCGCAAAAATCGTACGTAACCTAACACACTTTACTAATCCTAGGTTTGTGATCACACACTCACTCAGTATACATAAGTGGACAATACAGGAAATACGGCGCCGGTGATTAGAGGCTACTGTGAAAATATCAAAACGGGTGAAAACACAGGGGAGCGAAATATCAGACTGGACTAATGAGGTGCACATGAAATTGGCGTTCGGAGAGTTGAAGGTGGTAGGAACTTTGCAACACGGAGGATTCCCACAGACAGAGAATGCTCTAGAGAAGAAAGTTCAATGGGGAACTGACATCCGATGAAACAGCTGGCAGTCAAACGGAAGGCGTTAGCTCCCGTGAACATCTGTAGCAGCAGCTCTTTTCACCCATGTGCTGAGTGGACATCCGATGAAACAGCTGGCAGTCAAACGGAAGGCGTTAGCTCCCGTGAACATCTGTAGCAGCAGCTCTTTTCACCCAGCCCTGTGCTGAGTGGAGAGGTTTACCGACAGGTGAACAGTGTAAAACCTAGCAACGAAGTTTGCCCGGTGTACGGCTGAATCTCAGGAGGCATGTGTATCATGCTACAGTAGGGCTGCTTTGCTGTATGGTTGCCCAATTCAGAGTGGCAGAAGTAGAGAGGTGGCCGACTCTTGACATGACAGACGGGTATGAAAGAAATCACAAAACGTTTGGGTGCTGTCGGTGCTACTCGCCTTCAAGGGTGGGGACCGAGTGATTCTCACTGCACTTAGTTGGAGACGCTACAGGATATGTCTGCCAAACGATGTCAGTGGCGTTCTTGTTGTCAGTTTCTATCCAGATTGCCCGAATGAGTGTCTGCAGATGTAGGCACCTCGGAATGATTGCAGTAAGCTAGCACTAAGTCCGTTCCCCGTCCGTCTTTATTCTCTTCTTCACAATTAGGGTTTCAAATAAACCATGGTTGTACGGTAGCGAAACATCGGTGTTAAACACTGATGTCATACTATCGATGATGATGATGCTTCTCTGGATGGAGACCCCCGGACTCAACTCACCAATGGCACCAATAGAAATGGCCCAATCGGACCAAGATTTCCGAGTGTCGAACTACTGGGCGGTGACATTTCTTCGTGAGTGAGCCATCTAGCAACTAAAACACCGTCCGTCACTAGCGAAATACACTCATTTGCACACCATCTTGGGTTTGACGCGAGACTCATCCGGAACCCAAATGAATCTTACTTTTATGGTATTCTTACTCAAGTGAATGTGGTGCACCAGGCAGCCTCATGAGAAGTGTATTACATTTATCACTAATTTACTATCGGGTGCTGAGGTTTTAGTCACTAGTTAGCCCTGGGTTAAAATAACAATAACAATAATGATAATAATAATAATAGTAATAATAATAATAGTAACAATAATAATACTCGTTCATCTTTAATATTCTTCCGGTGCCTACCTACCATACCACCGGAAGGAAGCACAAGGACTGAGATACCACCAGGTTGCCCTAGATGGCCCAAGTGGTTAGAGCGCGAATTCACTGATCGGAAGATCTGTGGTTCGAATCCGACCTCTGCCTCTCGATTTCCCCTGTCTAGGCTTGGGCAACCTGGCAGTATCTCAGCTCTCGTTCAACCTTCGGGTGGCACGGGTGTTGAACACCGGAAGGGTGCTACAGCTGCCCTAGATAGGGGCGATCGACAATTCGGACCACGGACCCCCTGGTCGGTAAGTTCGCGTCTTGACTGGTGAGCTACCTGGAGCTCTGAGTTAGCACTGGATTAGTCAAGAATTGAGGCGATTTTTGTTGAATTTCCATCCACGTCAATCTCGTCGTTCATCTATCTCATGGTAAATGTCCTGTATTGTTCAAACCAAAGTCCGGACGCACATGTGACGTCCAAACAACCGCTCCAGTGATCGGAACTAGGAGAGTCCGAGTTTGAAGGTCCGCGGTTGGAATCCAGCCCCGAAAACTCGATCGCTCTTGTCTACGCCTGGGTAACCCGGTATTATCTCAGCCTTCATGTTTCTTTCGGGTGGCATGACAGATATGGCACCCAAAGGATCTTACAGCTGAAAGATTACTATTTTGTTATTAAACCGCGAAACCAAAACATGGAGGTGAACCTGTAAAGAACAGCTCGCTTTTAGGCTTAGGTCAATTCGAAACACGCTGCTTAGGGGAAACCAAGAGCATTTCCAAAGAAACTGCAGCCCGAGGTATGGTTAGCTCCCTCCAAATGAGTCACACATTCCTATATGAGCAAGATGAAACCAGCAATGGAGTCAGCCGAATGACCACTATCTAACCACAGCACGAATCCTCCACGATCCTTATATGTCTTGGTACTATCTTGTGGTTCCCAATGCACAGTGACATGAGTTGACTATAAAGTGTGTAGCGCAGAAACCAAAACGAACGAAATTCCCATGGGGTTCCAAGTAACCCGAACAACACTACAGTCACGAGATCAGCCAGACTCTGGATTCATTGGGGGGCTGGGAATGCACATTTAGCCCAACGACCAATAATCAGTTTAAGAAAATATTGCTAGACTATAGATTCTAAGAAAGTCTGCTACTACCGTGATCTAAAGATCGTCTGAGTTCGTGAATGACAGCGAATCATGAAACACTACAAGACGGTTGACTTGAAAATTGTGGTGTGTGCTATTCCAGTCAGGCAGTGCAAGATCACAGTCCGGGAGGCCAGTACATTTCTGCTCACTGCCTTCTGAAAGAAGCGAAAAAGAACTTACCACTTTCAACATTTCTTCCTTGATTACACGCATTATCTCCTTCTTCGCGATAGTGATTTCTCGCTCGGTGACAGCTTCGATGCACAAATACAGTGGTCGATCGTCGCTTCCTTCAGGAACATGTGTCTTCGCTTTCGCTGGAGGCATATACACTCCACGTACAGACACACCAACGTTGCAAAAGTCATTCAAGTGATTGAGCATATCACGCCCAGTGATGCGCCAACGTACACTTTGGGGAAAGTCATTTATAACCAGTTCCTCTTCAAACCTATGAAGAAAGTAGAAACAATTAAACGTATAGTTGGCTGGGGTCACAAGACGGACCAATGAAGTAGCTCATGAAGTGGCCGATGAAGATGACACACGAGTTCACACAGCGACTGATGCTGAGACCTACATAGTATCCGTACAAGAGGAAACGCTGTTGGCGTTTGGTGTTCAAACTGACTGCACAACATCAGCTATTCAGTGCGACTGAAGAGATGCTAATTATGGATCAATACTGAAATGAAATGCGCCATACAGTGACGGGAAAAACGACCACTTTGTTCTACTAGCATAAGCAGAAAATAGCCGGCAATTAGAAAAAAAGCAGAAAGGAGCTGATGCATCCAGATGCTGACTTACCTGCGTACGACGTCACTGCCTGCGGGAGCGTTCGGCTCCTCTTCACCGCTTCCAGCTACGGTTTGTTTAGAGTAGCCCAATTTGGCGTTGAGCTTTTCGGCTGCTTGTTCGGCCAGAGTCCGGCTACTGGTGATTCCTGTTGTGACGGCCGCGGCAGCAGCTGCTGCGGCCGCCACACTGGCACTGGCCGGGCCCACAGTAGGTGGCGGCGTCGTACCCGACAGGACTGCAATGGCTGTGGCCTGTGTGGCGTCCGCACGCGTGACCGGAGCGGTTGTGCCCAGGTTTTTATTTATACCCAGTTGGGCAGCCTTTTGACGAGCTAAGGCCAAGGCTGCACTGAGGGGAGTGGAAGCTGTTTGGGCACTGGACAAGATATGGGTAGAGAAGAGAGAAATAAGGCAGAAATTAGTGGCTCACTCACGACACTTATTCAAGACATTCTAGTTTCACGAAATGGGACTTAACAAAAATGAGTACACCTTGTAAACGGAAAGAATATGTTACCCGTCTGATACCAGTGCGCTGGCTGCGGAATGCCTATGATGAGTCGGGAGAGGGCACCATGATGAAATCATAAAATCATTCGTACCATCGCAAGTCTATCGCTAGCGAGTAGGAGTTCGGCAGGAATTCCACGCGGAAACTCCAAGATTCAGCAAAGGTGTACGACCGTTAAAGTATAATCGTCCAGTTATGACATTCCTTTGGCGGCTACCTACCACACTAATTGAAGGAAGCTTAGAGACTGAGATTCTGCTAGGTTGCCGAAGCCTGGACTAGATCAGTCTTAAACCACGGACCATCAGGTCAGTGGGGGCGAGACGGCTCAGTTGGTAGGAGGGCGAATTTACTGACAGGAGATTCGTGGTTCGAACCAGACCTCCACCTCTCGACTTCCTCTGTCTAGGCTTGCGCAACCTGGCAGTATCCCAGCCCTAGTGCTTCCTTCAGGTGGCTTGGCAGCCATGCGCCGAAAGGGCGTTACAGCTGAGCGATTTTTTCGACCATTCATGTAATTTCACCTCGAATTTTCTACAAAGTCCCTTCGTATAATTTCACTGGGTATCCGGATAGCGCTGTGACCGGTGGTTCACATTACCCGTTTCACAGTGGCTGCCAACTCAGTTTTCTACTCAGAGTGTATATTTATGTTCTTTATCTGTTAAAATCTTCGACGGGCCATCAATAGGGTATGTGAATGCAATAGCGAAAATTCAGTGGTCCAAATATACTTGGCTACTTGCCTTCATGATTGCTAAATTTTATGCAACGCAGTCTTGGATACTGTTCACTTTGGCACTACACTTAACCTACAAACTCAGATTGATGCAAATCCAAGCGAAAATGCATAAGGATTTAGGGAGTAGTACTTGTGTCAGGGCGTCCATCAGACATTAAAATTTGCCAGCCTTCTGAGGTGGGGTACTGTGAAGCAATGCATCATGGTCCCACCAGGCGCGATGCCACATAGTTTAAGCTGATTACTCTGTCAGATGGAGGCCATGACGGTGTCACCATGACACCATTGGTGACCCAAGTCAAATCTTTACCAATTCAACAGATGTAGAGGAGTATCCGAAAAACAGGTTCATGCGGAAGCTATGGTTTGGAGTGTCATCAGCGCGCATTCGAAGTGAGCAAGCTAGCAGTAGTAAGCAGTTATGTAAAACTGCAGGCACTGTGACAGTCACGGAACACAACCTGTCACCTCATCGAGAGCTGACTTCTGTTCAGTCACATGGATGTACAGAACTACCCAACTTACATGCCTAATTACGTCTCACTTGATAATCTACAGTACAAACTTCAAAGGAGCAAGGATCCAAAAACTTGTGGCTAACAAACCGAGTTGATAGCTGCTCTGAGATGGAAATGAAGGAACATTGGTCAGAATATCTAAGTAAAAGTACCACAAACACTGATAGAGGCGCAGTGGCCAAGTGGTTAGAGCGCGAATTTACTGATCAGAAGGCTCGTGGTTCGAACCCGACCTCTACCTCTCGACTTCCCTGCCTAGGCTTGAGCAACCTGGCAGTATCCCAGCCTTCGTGCTTCGATTGGATGGCAGGGCAGCTAGGCACCGAAAGAGTGCTACAGTTGAACAGTTATATTACTACACGCTCTCCCAATCGGACGATGATCCATGGTGGTCCCACAAGTTTCAACCAATGGATTTTGTACCTCCTCAATTCTGTGTGCAACAAAACAGCTTCAGTCTAATTGTTGTTGGTGGTGGATGCATGGTGAGACACAACAGTAATCCTATAAATTGATAGCGGGATGCATTGGGGTCGTTCGTAAGTTCCTTACTAGTACCTTCATATCGCACTCGTTTTCCATTGAAACGACACAGTTTCGATAACGTACGGAAGGCTAGAGGTCAAAAACGTGCGCTGCTCACAGGAGTACAAACTCTAGACAAAAATAGCTTAACAGTTGCGGATGGGTGATTGCCACACAGGTAGAACTCGTTCAAGGTGGGTTCACGGAAGCCAAATTAATTGTGGACAATCTGAATTCACTGTTTTCAGTAGCACACAATTCACTACACAAAATTACACAAGTGAATGTGGTCAGACGGTCACTGTGCAAACAATTCAAACCACTATTCGGTTTGTGGAACTGACAAGGATGAGAGCAAAATGGATTCAACCTGAAGTTGTTGTTATCAATTTTGGTACTCCGGAAGGGCTCAGTGGTTGGAGCGCGAAGGTTCGTGGTTCGAACCCGACCTCTGGCTCTCGACTTCTTCTGTCCAGACTTGAGCAACCTGGTAGTATCCTAACCCTCGTGCTTCCTTCGGGTGGCATGGCAGCCATGTACCGAAAGGGTGTTACAAGCTAGACGACTGCCTTATTATAGAGCGATGGCCGAATTTTTCCTACTTGTTCCAATGGATTATGTTTTCAGGTGTCGGACGCGCACATCATTGTGTTAACAGAAGCGTGCCTCCAATTGCCCGTTAGCTTCACCCATACGCGTTCGATCGCGGTCCCAGCGGTCGACTTCGCGGATTAAAGTCATTGGACCATTGATAGATGAAGTCTTTTCGATGCACTACAGCGTACTGTCAGTTCTGTATACTTCCAAACATCGAGGCTGAATAATGTCTTCGGAATTCGTCCGGAGGTCCTTTCGCGGTACTTCTGTTTTAAACCACGAATCGGATCACCTAGGGTGTGACGATATCGGTGGTAATCTCCCAAAAGATCGAGACAATTTTATTCCTTTAGTGCAAACACACCTTGCGTTCGTTGGTCAGTTTGCTTCCAGGTTGTTCTCACAACCAATTTCAGGGATTTGAAAATTGACCACGGTTTCTCAAATAACTAGAGCCAAGAAGATGGTTAGGATAATTACGACCGAGTTGCTCGAGCAGGACGCAATAAAAGTTGGCAGAAAGTTGGTTGCACGGCTTTAGAGGGTGAGCTAAGGACTGAGAGGTCTATGGTTAGGTAACGGAAACACACCGAAAAATGGGTATCATTATAGGTTGATGGGAGATTACCTTGCAGCGGCAGTGTCTGTTGTCAGTTCTCCAATGGAACTCTTGGCAACGTCCGTCACCTTCCGTTTACTAGCCAACATATCTTCAATCTTCGACTCCCAATCGAGACTGGACGGATCAGCTTCTTCTTCATCGGAGTCTTGCAAACCCAAAGCGGCTTTCTGGGCCCGACGTTTCTCACTGTTAAGCTGGGCCTCGGCCTCATCGAACATGAAGCCCTTACCACGGAAACCCGAGGATCCGAACACCTTCTTGCCTTCCTGTATTTTGAAAGAGAGTGAGGTCAAGGGTGATGTATGTGGGTAAATTCAAACAGAAAGAAAACAGCACTTTTTTTTATGATATCATTATTTTACATAAGGATGTGTCGATTTTCCAAAGGACAGCACACAAGGATGGGACGACCAGAGGCGAATCGAATGGTCAAATGGACTACTGTTGAAGAACTCTCATCTCGTTTTGTCCTAATTCAATGTAAATCAAAGGAAAATATGCACCGACCGGGTTTCATTTCAGGAAAGATGACTTCTAACAAGCATGAAGGGCCTCATGAGGTTGATTTAACTACATATTCCGAAGGGTCGAATGGCTTAGACCTCCGCGAGAATCCGCGACTATGCAAATAAGCGAACAGTTGATCATATCAAGCTTCACACATGATTAAAATTCTACAACCGCTCAGATCTGCATGAAATCATTCTAGGTGATGAACACAGGTGGAAGCCTTCCGCAAACCCGTACGAACATATATCCATGGGAGTAGGTGCATGGGGTTATTACAGAGGAGAGGAATTTGGAGACCGTTATACTTGCTGAAAACAGATAGAGCTTACAAATCAAGAAACACCATAGTTAAAGATCAAGCACTTGTCACAAGGCGAAGATATCATCAAAGCGCCATCAGCCAGGACGGAACCCAACCTGATTCTTACGAATCTCGCTCTCCCGATGATGGACCACACACGAAGTATGCGAGCTTCGTGTTTACTACACGCATTGATCGGTTCCAACCGGAGACAATAAACGATGGAGAGAGGCGCGATCCCCTATGTTGTAACAAGCAGAGGACTCGTGAAACGATGAAACAGGTCGGGGCCGTAGGACAGCTGAGGCATAGCTAGGGTACAACTGGCCGTCCGTTGATTTCGGCTAACGGCTGGGTAACAGAAGCGGGTCATAGAGCTAGTGTACGAGCTTCATGCGCAATTGGACCATGGTAGCGCTTGTCAACCGAATGGGGACGACTGGAAGCCACAGTTTTCAAAGCCGATTTTGGGCTCATTTTATTTTTTGAAACATATCAATCCTTTAATTCAGTTCGTAGCACAAACAGGAGTGTGCTTCAGTATTATCACCCCTGGATTTAAGATCTTTAGGGTAAACGGGACTACAAGTTGATAACGAATGAGTTACAGCGTGGTGCCGTAAACGACCGAAGTAATAACCAACACCGTTAGTCTGAGGATAGCGAACACCGTAAGTGTGAAACATTACGAAGGATTAACAGCTGGTTAAGGAAAGATCTTCAGATATCACAGAATCCAGCAGAGTTCATCGTGGATGAACTCGCCCAAACCCTTTTCTTGTCCGCTGCTGTTTACCGCGTCTACCTCATAGACTCGATATGCATTTGTAATCCCTTATGAACTTTTAACCCTTGACTTGTCGAACCAATTAGGTCAACCATTTTTTATGCGCGCTTTTTGACCATCTTGCTTTACCACGTGTTGTACCCAGGCGTGTGTCGCAAACTAAGATCGTCTTGTCATCTTCGAGCTTTGGATTTGCATTACTTCGTGCAACAGTTTAGACGGAAACCCCAATAATTTGAGGCTTGTGCCCCTTCTATCGAGTACTTTATATAAGTAGTACCGTATCTTTTGATAAATCTCGAGAATCCACAATTTCTGGCTTGTGATTTTGCGCGTCAATCAAGTGGAGTTTCCCGAATACGTCCAAGTATTCTACAATCTATTCGTTGATAATTCGAACTTCCGTTATGCTTCCACTTGTGGACCTGCAAGAAATTCAATAGGAGACCTCAAATGAGGTCAGTCATATAAAGTGAACGAACAAAACAAAATAGGGGCTCCACACGAAACAACCTAGTCACCTGAGTTTGGTGTGGACGATCTTGAATGGAAGGGAATAACTAACTGTCATAACTCACTGCAGCCATTCTGGTTTTGTACGAGTTCCACATGACTAGCAAGTCTTCTGGAGGCTTCTGACCACTTTGTTTGAATGCTCGAACAACGTCACCTGCATTGCGTTCCTGATCCGGAGTGAGGAAAGTGTAGGCAAAGCCTTTATTTCCGGCCCTCCCAGTTCGCCTGAAAAGGAGAATGGAACAAACAAATAATTATCAGATAGTAAAAGTGTTTACCTAGCTACAGTACAGTGAAACAATCGGGTCACATCCAGGTTTACGTACCCACATCGATGAACATAGTCCTCGTAGTGATTAGGGCAGTCGTAATTGATCACGACCATCAAATCAGACACGTCCAAGCCACGGGCGGCTACCGAAGTGGCTATCAAAAGACGGATATTGCCTCGCTTGAAGTCGGTCATCACGGAGTCGCGATCGTACTGATCGATTCCACCATGTAGGGACAAACAAGGGTAGCCGTATTTCAGTAGCACACGCATCAGTTCATCTGCACTTTCCTGTTTCTCCACGAATATTAAGACACTACCAGCTTCCTGGTAGATGCCTAGAAGTTCCAGAACTTTGTAGAATTTCTCGTCTTCTGTGAGAACTAGCTGTTTGGGAGAAATCGATATTGTGCATAATGGGAATATTTGGTCAAAAGAAACTAGAAAGACGAGTAGTATCACAGATAAAACAGCAATTCTTGTCTGTTAAAAACGGAGTATGAATATCCTGTACACTCTGCCTCTTCTCATCATCATTACCACTGGCATACCGAGCACACAGCACCTCATTGAACGCATTCACTTATTTGAAGTAACAGATTTGTGACAAAAAAACTAAATGTGCCACTGTTTCTAGTTAAACAGGCAATAATTTGCTATCAGTTGAGCAGGTTTCTCACTCAGGACACTCCTTGGCTACACGAGACCCCTAAAGTGTGAGCGGGGCCACCTAAACCTCAGAGTGTGTTTCTTATTCCTTTGTGGCTGTCAGCCGGTTACACAGTAGAGTTCGTGTAGACTCCATTGGACGCAGTAACTAATGCATACCGTGAGCGGGCAGGATAGGTAAGATAGGGGAACGCGTGTCACCGTCACATCTCCAGTGTCACGATTGTGTAAGCCAAAGTAGAGTAATAGTCTTCGACAAATGCATACGAATTTGGTTTTAACAGGAGACTCAACCAAATCCAGCTGAATCTCTCGTTCATGATGGTTATTTGTGATATCGAAGGGTTTTCAGCGACCTTATGAGCAGTATGTTACGTCTAGAATTAGTAGGCATTAAAAAAACACTTTCCATAGATGGTCAGTATCGCATCGCATCACGATTTAGAAGAAATCGACAATGAGCCTAGCAGGTTGTGATCCGAGCGACCATAAGCGCAACCAAAATTCATTCAACAGAACGGCCAATAGAAAAAAACCACTGGAGTATTGTGATCACTCACTGCGTGCTGTTCCACGTCCGAACACACGACCGATCGCCCACCAACTTGTATTTCGATTGGCAAGGTGAGCGCTTTCCGGGCAAGCAACTCCATCTGTCTGGGGAACGTGGCTGAGAACATAGCTGTCTGACGATCGGGCCGGCAGTTCTCGACGATGCGCATTACTTGAGGCTCGAATCCGAGATCAAACATGCGATCCGCCTCGTCCAGAACGATATATGTGCAACGACGCAAATTGGTTACACGACCTAAATTACGACAAGTGGATTAGTTGGAGATGGATAGGAATTGATTAATCAAACACTTACACAATGCGTCCGAAAATCCAGTAGTACCATGGACACTCAAATAGTAAAAATGTGGTATTATTACTGTATACATCCCGAGACAAGTCGTACGTCACAGTGGATCATCCACTCAAAGACAGGATGTGGGGGTGTCGCGCATCTTACCGGTGGCTACATCTCAAGACCCACTTACCACGAGTGGTTTTCTCGCCTCCTTGTTCCATCTAGTAGATTTTATGTGACCATACATCACTTAATATCGGCAAACACGGTGGATAAATTGTACACGATAAACAAAATTGTCGAAGCTGACGATTTGACGGAACAATAAACAGTTCAAGTGAGGGATAGCTGCCCGAAAATTTCCAACTGCGGTCCGGCTAGAGCTTGATTGTGAAGGTGATCTCTCTTTTTTGGGCGCCTCATCTCCTCCCCAAAACAAGGGTAACGCTACATAAAAGGACAAACGTGCTCAAATGGTTTAAAGCAACCCTAATGCACCAAAATCGTCGTGCAGCTCAAAGCCTCACAAGTGCATCCCACGCAAAGTGTGATGAACTTCGATCGATAAAGGTCTTTGAGGTCATGGATCGTATTGGAAGGACGCCACAAAAAATGTACGCGGATGGAGGACGCGGCTCAAAACTTGCAGGAGTTTTCGCACAAGGACAGACACCAACTGAGGGACACGACTGTTGCAAGGAAATAACTAGACACTAGGGATAGTCTTTGATTTTGTCCAAACCCGCACGGTATGCATGAGGCTTAGAGTGAGGTGGCGCAAACGGATTGTCTGTCAGGAGGCCAGCCGTCCCTAATAATCGAACATCACATCATTTGGACGGATGTGTCACATGCGGGACACGGGCCAAACGAAGGCATGTTCTGATTGGTCAGAATGCCAGCCAATCTGAGTCGAGCATCTTTGACTCGACGCTTCTCGCCCCCTCACGGAGATTCTGGTACGACCTTGTGGAACACTCTATGACTATCCTATAAATACAGTTGGAATAATTTTCCTCTGTCTCCATAAAGGGCTGTGTAGAGCTATCGTGCCTTTTGATATCCCATAGTGGGCGGAGAAGGAAGCCAAGGGACCGATACAGAGTTGCATCACGTACATCAAGAGTACATCAAGTCACAACACTGTCAGAGAGGGTACATAATGCTGCTACATTCAGAATCTCACCGAATGACTAGTGTGTTTAGGTCAAAACGGATCTGCGGAAGGAAAGTGTCAGATTTGCCGCGTTCTTCTCCAAAGCTAACATTCGAAATGACAAACAAAGTACTGCAGCTTGAAACATGCCTTATCAGAGAGCGGATGAGACGAACAAGGCTGCACGTCACATGTCTCCACAAATGGGGGAATATAAGACTCGGCAAAGCATGTGGCTTGAAGAGTACAACAGGCTCCGAGTGAGCAGGAGTTCGATGACGTTTCGCCAAATATACTCATTTGTAAACTGGTTTTGCTTTAAGGGGAGACTCAGTTGGATTTCTCGTACATTCTTGTCTCTTCACGGATTCGGGCACAAACCTCCTGCTAGCCGGAAGCGAAAGGGTGATAATGAATGACAAAATCATGTGGCAAGTGACAATACGTTCAACAACATCCAGCTACATACCAGATATTCGAGTTGGAGACATTGGAACCAAAAAAACAGCCCACTAGAGCAACATTAGCGTTAACATTGCCGTACAACCAAAAAAATATTTGGTTATATTCAAAGCCTTAGAATGAAAAGAAACGTGTGTAAGGGAAAAGAGTCAGTGCTCAGGAGCCTACACCTCCAAGTATTCAATCAGAAAATCTGACAGCAACATCGACCTGCCGCCATTTTTTTACAGTTTCTAGCAAGAGCGGGAGGGATCACGAGGACCAAACCAACAACATGTAATCGCTTGGTACTATCTTTCACACCCTTCTGCCAAGTCATACGTTGTTCACCTCGTGGTTTTCGCTCTACTGAAAGAGGCAGGTAGAAAAACACTCGCCTAGGTAGACAATATTTCAACATGCGTAGCCCAGCTACTTCGGTTGACGGCTTTGGATGTTTTCCATGATTGAAGTACCTGCAGCACAACCAGATACCCGTTTTCTAAATGGTTAAAGCGCGAATTCACTGACCGTGGTGGTTCGAATCCGACTACGGACCTCCGCCATTCGACTTCCCCTGTCTAGGTTTGGGCAGCGCGACAGTATCCAAGCCCTCGTGCTTTCTTCAGGTGGCATGGCAGCTAGGCATCGAAAGGGTGGACGATTTCTAAATACCTTGTTACGAATTCATTGACGTCATCCGACATCAGCAAGGCTTCTGAGGCACCCGTGGTAAAAAATACATTAGGTCTCACAGAGGACACGTCTCGCAATCATACAATACAAGCCTGGTACCGGCGACGAGGAGCGCAATGCAGCAGGAAGCGAGGAACAACCTCGTCGGCTTAACATTGACAAAGTATCACCGGTTGGTGAGGTGTTCGCAACCCGATTACTAAGCTTGGTAAGCAGCTCAAGAACCAGTCAACGCTATCAACAGTTTGAAGTACTACTGACCGCGCATTTCGTGCTGCTGACCTACACACGATGACTGTTTTAAAACCGTAGAATAATTTTGTTCGTGTTGTTGATAAAAAGCTTGCTGTTATGAAGACTAACCAGTATTGAATCTACCGAGGTGGCTTCGTAAACACTTCGCAACACCTAGGCAGCTTAAGGATTAAAAAAACAGAACCAGGAGTACACGACGTGAAATCACGAACAGAGTAGTGGACATAGTAAATTTGGAAACTATAGGCCATAAGAGGACCGATATGTCACGGGGTGGAAGGTATGAGTAGCACTCCACCAAAAATCAGGCTACACTCACCCCCATTGGCCGCAAGCATATCGATCATCCGACCAGGTGTACAAACGATTATTTCTGCTCCCCGTTTGAGTTCAGCAATCTGTTCACTAATTCCTGTTCCACCATACACACAAACAACTCGGGCGTCTACAGCTTGAGCCAGTTTTTTAGCCTCTTTGAATATCTGAAGAGCCAGTTCACGTGTTGGGGCTAGAAGAAGTGCGATCGGGCCATCTCCGGGTTCCAAAGGATCCTGATGCTCCAGATGGCGCATAAGTGGAACGAGAAACGCGAGCGTTTTACCACTACCTGTTTTGGCTATTCCAATCATATCCCGGCCGGACATGAGCACAGGCAAAGCTTGGCACTGGATTGGAGTGGGTTTGTCAAAATTATTTCTGAAATAAGACGTAACAGGATGAACACATGAGCAAATTTTTTGGGGAAATCAGCTGTGATCTGGGTAGAGGAGACAGTGGTGGGAAAAAAGACGTGTAAACAGTAACGGATTTCAGAAATTCAACGGCAAGCTTCAGGGGATGGTCTCTTTTGCTGACATGGAAAGAAGCCTGGGGAAAGTCAACATATACGCATATTCAGTCGTATGAGATGAGAGTCCCGATGAAGGAATTATGTGCTAGTTGAGCTGTCTCGTCCCCAGTCGGACTGTTCTTGGAAGCATTCTGTATCAGGAGTTTGACACTTCAATAACAGTTACGGCGAGAGCTCCTGTTAAGGTACGTGACGCGTGCCACTATTACTCCCGCATACGGATTCCATTCCGATTTCTCAGTTTCAACCTAACAAGCTTGGTTTTCACGAGAGACTCAACTGAATCTCTTGTTTATGATATTCTACAACTGAATGTGCTGCACACAGGCTGACTCATGTTTCAGTTGGCATGATATTCGAGATATCACAGAATATTTTCATAAAGGAAACTACTCACAAGGTTGCTGAAAACTCTTCGACAGCCCAGGACCGGTTCGGTTCTTCTTTGGGTTCATCAGGTAGGCGCATTCTCCGAGTTTCCGTCAGCCTTATGTTCTACTTGAACACAAATTGGACTGTTTCCGAGAAATACACCAAATTGGTTTGCAAATGAGCGTATTTCTCGGAAATAGTCTAATTTGGGTCCAAGTAGAACATAAAGTTGACGGAAACTCGGGGACTGCGTCTACCTGATGAGCCCCAAGAACCGGTCCTGGGCTGTCGAAGAGTTTTCAGCAACCTTGTGAGTAGTTTCCTTTAGGAAGCTTCAAACCATTTGTCAGCTCGTTCGCTCTTCCTCCTTGCGCACAGTACTAAGACGATTGAGCTAAGTTCGTCTTATAAGCCAGTAATCAGTTGGAGCAAAGTCTATCTACGATAAATTGCCATTAAAGAGCGCACCGGCGGAAATCTCACGAGATTCTGACGCACTACACACGTATAAGTAAGAAATCCATTTTTGTCAGTTACATCCAGATGTATTTGCTCTCGTCATCAATGAGCCTCATCAGATTTGTGCAACTAGAAAGTAGCATTAGTGTGGTTCGCAGAAACGAATTGAACGAGGACAACTTCATTTAGTAAATGGCTCTACTAAAAATCCAGATCTACAGTTTCTGTGGAAAATAACCATTTTTGACGCTTGATTGGGAAAATCTTCGGTCTTCATGGTAGTGTACCTGACTTTCAAACCGACCACAAATCTCAAGGTGTTCTACAACTAGCATCCATTTCTTACACTTCGAAAATATTCTGTCTGTCTACAGAAGTGGCCCGATTTCATACATTCGCTTAGGATATATTTAGTCGATGCGTACGACCAAGAGTGCAACAAAGTACAAGACGGAGTCCACACGCACCAGAGCTATTGTTAAATATTTACTAATAGCCAGCCGAAGAGCGTCGCCTAGGTAGGCGATGTTTCAACATGCGTGGCCCAGCTGCCGCAGTTGACGGTTTTGTTTGTTTCCCATGACTGAAGTACCTGCAGCACAACCAGATACCCGTTTTCTAATTACCTGGGGGGGGGGCGAGATGGCCCAAGTGGTTAGAGCGCGAATTTACCGACCGGAAGCTCCGTGGTTCGAACCCGACCTCTGCCTCTCGCTTTCCCATGTCTAGGCTTGGGCAACCTGGCAGCATCCCAGCCCTCGTGCTTCCTTCGGGTGGCATGACAACTAGGCACCAGAAAGGTGCTACAGCTGAACAGAACGGGTGCGGAACACCAGGAGCGAGCCAATAACCGCACTACTGTTGTTAAGACTGCTGCTAAAACGAGTAGGATCAAAAATTTACTTCGAAAAACCAATGCTGTATGGAGAGAAGACTTTACACATCTGCATCAATCATTCGCAATGGCGAAAGCCAGCAAAACGACATTACCTTTTCAAACAACTGAGTAACCGTGAACTGATTCCCGCTTGAACCCAGTTTTTCAAAGGCTTCGGACAATCCTGACCACGAACACGAATATTCTCCAAGCTGGCTCGATAGGCTTTCACATCTTCTTTGCTCATCTTGGCCAGTTCCGGAACCTCGATGTAGAAATTCTTCCGAAACGGTCTGTAGTGTATTTTCGAATGATCCACAGGTAGTAGTTTCTCCTTTTTCTGCAAATGAGCCAACGCATCCTCAAGGGTCTCTTCTTCTTCTTCTGAAGAGTATTCCATCTCGTCGATGTTACTTTCCATGAGTTCCCCTTTACCGATAACGCGTTTCTTTAACGGTGGCTTCGAGTTTACTGCAGGGGTTGCCGTTTTTGGAGGCGGTTTTGTTCCGGCAGGCGGCTTAGACTGATTGGTTTTGGGCGTTGGGGCAGTAGTGGGAGTCTGATTACGGTCTGAGTAGCTCTTGACCTCCTCGTTTACCGTCTAAAAGGCAACAGGTTACAGGGATATGCAACGAAACCAGTCCGAGAATATGAATAAAGGAACGTGTAGTGAAGAAAATGGATTGCGAGGCTTTGCCCATCTCAGTGAGACATGTCTTTTGACTATCCTATGACCGAAAGAACCAAACTCCTAAATGAACCCAAAACGAATCGGGCACAAGTTACCTCTTAAAAAGCGGAAAATTCACGAACAGGAATACTGCACACAAAAGAAACACTCACCGTCCAATGACATTATGCAGGTCCGTCACGTGGGGTGATCATAAGTCCCACCAATAATGACTTAAACTGAAATGCGGGGAACCAGCAAGTGAAGTGGGGAATACTTAATCCGTCTATGCATGTGAGCATGTAAAATGTAAATGGATCTGGAAAGCTCGATACGGCTGTTCATGCTGCCAGCTACAGTAGTCCTCCTCAGGAATGACTAAAACCAACCTACTTCACCCGCGTACAACGGGATTCCTCGTTTTGTTCCCATACCCCCTCTTCTTGTTCTTTATTTGATCTTGGCGTCGCGCAACTGGCTCAACACAGTAACATGGGTTTCGTCATTTAGTGGCCACTTTTCTTTAACGTCGAATAGGCAGACTGTTTTGTACCTACTTTATTCTACAGGATCTTATTCGGAATTAGCCGTGCTCAATCCGGCGTAATCCCACGATTTGAGATTTCTACCGTTTGTCATTTCATTATTGTATTAATGGTACCACACTTATTGATAAACTACCGTCTGAACGAATCGACTGTTGGGGTTTGTACGTTACTCAACTAACCCACCTAATCGCTGCAAGCAATTAATACCTAGAGAGTCCACGATTTTCTTACCTGAGGAGCAACTCTGTCCCAGAAGACAGGATATGAATTCCATAAAAAAACAGCGGCAATCCAGTCTTAAAAGCCGAAGGGCAATTGTGACAAACGTAGGTTTGGGACTAAAAAAGCACCCCAATGGTTTCTAGACTGCTGGAAACCTAGTTAAACCAGGAGAATAAATTGAAGTGTAGAATCCTGTGGTTACTTCTCGATATGTGTTTGGCCTATACTTACATTATGAAAGGTGACACTCAGTTTGAGTTTCTCTCACGACTCATGATCGTTTCAGATATAAGTATTAGTGTAAGAAACATCCTTAAGAGTAATGAATCCAGTGCTGAACATTGGAGCGGTCAGGTAGTCACTTTGAGCTAAAATCGATGTATGAAAAGAGGAGGAACTAATGGTCAAGTAATTGGTGGAAGGAGAAAGGGTGGGGATTCAGTATGAAGAAGCCTTCAGTTTTTAGAGAAGATGATCGAGAATGAGGTTCTTCCACTTTCGAACAGCACTGAAACAAACACAACTGAGCATTATTTCGGAGTGAAAAGCAACCAGCATGACTAATATAGAATTGTTTGCACCAATCAGCAACTTAGTGCACAAGCAGGACGAAGTTAGCTTTACCGTCTGGCCAGGGGTTGATAGCTAGCCAGCGGAGGTTAGTTGCGCGCCACATCCTGAATGGTCTTCAGTCAAGTTCAAGGAGAATCAGCTAGTAATGTGCCAGGATCCCACAGAACTTCATTTATCGCTTTCATTCCATGTAGTTATGTCATGACCCATTCCTTTCGCCGGAAAAAACCTTACTTTAGTAGACAGTAGTTGAGTATGCGTAATGCATGTGCTTCAGCTGTAACGCTCTTTCAGTGCATAGCTGTCAAGCCATCCGAAGGAATCACGAGGGTCGATTTGTTGTCAGGTTACCCAAGCCTGGACAGGAGCATTCCAGATGCAGATGTCGGGTTCGAACCACGGACCTCCCAGTTAGTAATTTCGCGCCTTAACCAGTGAGCCATCTCGAGCTCATATATAATACATGTCCAAACCACCTTAGCTCAATAAAACTTGTTCGCCGCTCTGGCGATTTTGATTCTTGAACAAGTGCTTTCTTAGGCAGTATTTTAGTTGCCTTCCTAAGAGGCCACTGGTAATCACCTGTTTGTGCAGACAAAACATACGCAAGTCTCTTTTCAAGTGAATCTCTTTGTTTTGCCACTGTACGACCGAAGGCTACTTCCGTTTGAGTTCCTTGAGAGGTAAATAGAGGGTGTGTTGCGAACTATACGCAATGTGAGTTCCAGATTACCTTAACCTAAGTAGCCATTTCCGAGGTGATTTTGAATGATCAAGCAAGATATTGCTGGTTTTGCCGGTAATCAGTGTCAAACTGAGGTTCGAGATATCTCACATTCCTCAAATATACATCCAACTGCGAAGACTAATGTTGCGAATCTCTAAGTTTTAATGGAGGTGTGAAACACCGGCCAGATAGTGTGGAAGGTCAAGGCGGTATTCACAGTGCCGACAACGATGTCCCTTGTTGTATGGTGAGGTCTTTCATGCTGGTGTGAAAGACTCGTTATTCTAACTGTCAAACCACGTGAAATAACCACATTATATTTATTCATCTATGGGTAGATTTTATTTTGTTTCCTAGTGATTATTGCAAGTTGTCGGGTNCTTGTTGTAGTGTGAGGTCTTTCATGCTGGTGTGAAAGACTCGTTATTCTAACTGTCAAACCACTCGAAACAACCACATTATATTTATTCATCTATGGGTAGATTTTATTTTGTTTCTTAGTGATTATTGCAAGTTGTCGGAAGGCTTAGTCCCAAATCATACGCACCACGCGTACTGTATTGCGAAGTGGCCAATTGTCAAAGCTTAGATAAATAAACGTCACGCCAACAGGGTGGTTCACTGTGCTAAAGGTCTAATTTGTTTCACACGCTCTAGTCGCTTTTGAATCGCCACCATTGCGAACAAGCACAACACCTCAGCTACAACATGGTCTCAGCCGATGGGCAGCAGCAAACTCGAAATGAGTGGCGTCAAACGATAACCACAGCTGGTTGCTCGCTGGAATTATGCACGCTCTAGTCGCTTTTGAATCGCCACCATTGCGAACAAGCACAACACCTCAGCTACCACATGGTCCCAGCCGATGGTGTCAAACGGTAAGCACAGCTGGTTGCTCGCTAGAATTATACATTGCCCAGGCATCCATACTCTAGACCTGTCCCTGGAAACACAGTGGGACATGACAGGTAGTGGGATCGAAATTGATTAAAAAGTCGATAGGAGTCGTACATCCGCACATCCGTTTCCCCATTTTAATTGGTCTGCTGACGTAAAGGTTCAAAGAACAGCCGAAGAAGTTGCGGCTGGAATACTTCACAAGCCCGATTATGTGCCATCTTCTAACTCTACCTCATCATTCCATACAACCAGCCAGTAAATTCCTTGAGTGAATGTAAGGAGTCCACAGTGACGCACCTAACAAATAGGTGGACGAATGATGTAGATAAGTACGTCTCTTCCGAATAGCGGAATATAAACGGTTTCACCGTCAAGATCGGTTCCAACACCAAAAGACAGATAACCATGCGCCAGGTACGTCAACAGAAACCGTAGAAATGGAGTTACAGACCACCAGTCATCCAAGTATGATGGTGTGTAGTTGGAGGAACTGACAGCTGGTGCTGGCACCTTCGTGCAAAGCTGAGCTATCAACAAAACATCACGTTGTGTCGACTGTTAGCAACATGTTGTCGTTCACCCGTAATGAAGTAGTTCATGGCAGTTCTCTCACCAGTGGAAAGACCACAAAACAGGAAACGGACAGAAAATAGCTTAACGAAAACAAACTACAAACAAACTACACTCAAATACAGAGTCAGACAAGCTACATCTAACTTTGAATGGGCCAGTGATGTTATACTGTGTCAAACTGCCCGGGTTATGTGGGTTCGCGAGCTTTCTCGAATATATACATCGGGTTCAGATCCATAACACATTCAGGATCATTGGTTTTCCTTCTTGCACTCAAAGCTTGATGAAATGTGTTGATGCGTGCATTTCAGAGCATAATGAGCCTGCGTCACATAGTAGTCTAGCAAACAGGTTAAAATCAAAAGCCTTCCGTCCTTGTCTATGCTCCAAGCGCTAACGTTAATCAAATTTGTAAAACCGACCAGAAGGAAAACTGTGCTGTTGTGGGGAGACAATCTCTATCCCCTATCTTCGAAATTGCTGGTCAGTGTGTTGAGATTTCACGGACTTCAGTCGCTGCTCGATGTAAGTAAGCAAAATCGCGTGTTTAAAGGGAAATCCGGCACCAAATGCAAATTCTGATGGAGATCGTTCAGAGACATAGATGTGAATAAAGAAATCAAAGATGCTACTCTGTTAAACTAAATAACTTTTCCTGCAGCTAAACAGACAAATCGGTTCGCGACTATTGCAGAAAATCGACAAGAGTAGTCTTAAATACAGATGTCATGTATATGCATATATATATATATAATGTATATATGCAGACAATCCGTTAGATAGCCGTACATTCCGCTAAACAGTGATATCTACAGGCTCCGAGTGTTTGCAGTTTCCGACCACTCAAACCACTGATTCTGGACTGTGTGCATCTTTCCGAAGAGATGGCACGTCTAAAGAAGAGGTCCAAAAACCCCTTCTCGGTAATGGTCACTCTCTTATGAGAAATTTCTGTATTGCAGTATAAGGTGAGGTACTGCCTACCTGCATGAATGCATCCAACGGGTCGATTTCATCCTCAGCAGTCTGTTTGCTCGGAGCCGACTTCTTTGATGTGTCCTCCTCATCGTCATCGTCATCGAGATTCCACTTCGCTGATCGGGGTTGCCTTGCCGTCTCCACTATCCTCTGCTGTACGGACAGTATGTCTTGCTTTAGTTTGCGTTCACGCCGCCATCGCTCAATCCTTTCTCTACGCTGTACAAGAATATGAATGAGCAAAATGTAAACTAATTCGGTTACCTTCTGCATTTCCTGGTCAAGTCTTCTCTGCTCCACATCCTTATCTAAATTTTCACTGACGATTAATGCTCCCTCTATCCCTGAAACGCCGAGACCACCAGTACGTGCGGCTTTGATCCGATCTGCCGCGGCATTTGCAATTGCGGTCATTGCTCCAACTGTAGCTGGTTTGGATGTGGCTGCCGCTTTCGCCTTGGCAGCAGCTTCCTCCGCCGCCTTGGCCTGGGCCAAAAGTGAGCCCATGAGTGAAGTAGGAGGTAGGGATGAAACATCTGGCAAACCATTGGCTGCCGGAAGTGAACCTTCGAGAGTTGTGGAAAACGCCCGTCGATGTAACACAGGAGAACGGGATCGTGAGCGCCTGCGCCGACTGTGGCGTGAGTAGTCATCGTCGCGTCGACTGAGTAAAAGATACGGAGAGTGGCAATCGATTATAAAAAAGAAAATAAGGTCCAGATCACGGCCAAGCAGGTGCAAGTGAAAGTTTCAGAAGACATACGAACTTAGGTAAGCCAGTGTGAAACTCACCAGTGTGTTATGTATTCAATATAAACACGCAATAGGGTAACAATAAAGACATCATCGTACCCCGGAAGGGCGGACAGTCTCCATTCCAACCGCAATGTGGCAAACAGGAAAATGTGCGTCCAATCCACGTTGGATATAAAGGGGACGTTGGCAGCTCTGATTATTTAGCTAGTGGTCGGGTTGTCCGCTGATATTGATGATTTTGTTGCATTAGGTTAACAGTTTCAAGCGCCCGTACGCCACAGCAGCTAGGGAACTAACAAGTTGAGTTACAAGGATTGGTCTGAGCTGAAAACTGAGCACGACGGCAACGTGGTTTCCANATATATATATATATATGATGAGCAAGCTCGAGATGGTTCAGTGGCGGTTTGAATCCCATTCCAGCATTTTGGCTTGGGAAACCTGGCAGTATCTCAGCTCTCGTGTTTCCTGCGGGCAGCATGGCGGCTATTCATTGAAAGGGTGTTAAAGCCGAAAGACTGTTCCTTTCACCTTCTAGTCGCAAGTTCGCACTGTAACCACAAAGCTCCCCTGAGCTCGGGTACGTATACATACCTTTATGAATTTCACAGTGAAACTTCCACTGTCAATTCGCTCGGCTGCAGAGACCACTGAAAATCCGGGATAATTGCCACGTTTTGTGTGAATGAAGTCTAGGGGGCGAGATAGCTCAAGTGGTTAGAGCGCGAATTTACTGACCGGAAGGTCCGTGGTTCGAATCCGACCTCCGCCTCTCGACTTCCCCTGTCTAGGCTTTGGAAACCTGGCAGTATCCCAGCCCTTGTGCTTCCTTCGAGTGGCATGGCGGCGAAGCACCGGAAAGATGTTACAGCTGAACAATTATTATTAGTATTACTATTATTGTTATCTCCAAGGGGGCATTGTCATCGGCATATTCGATTTCGGTGAGCGAACGCCCCGAGAGTATTGTGAAGCTAGAAGCGTTAGAGGTTGGCAAAGAAGACTTGAGCAGCAAGTCAACTAACAAATTAAACAAGAGGAACAAGGGACTTCTCCGCCTCCCACCACTGGATGAGGCGAACTTAGGACAGAAGTTGCCGTAGGCACGTACGTGCCCATGGGAAGGGGCGTATAGAGCCTTTCTGAAAGATACGAATTGAGAGACACCATTCGTCGCCAGACACTGACGATTAACGGAGCTGAAAGCAGGTTTGATAGAGAAAGACTACCACTGCTGGCCGTCGGAAGGAGTCATCATCATCAGCTGTAAGAACCGCGAACATGTACAGTGGTTGTTCGCCGATGATTTGGGGTGGTGGGGTAGATATCTGCGCATTGGAGACGAAAGCAGGTTAATTGGTGCGTAAATACAGGTCTGTCAGTGGACTTTTAATTGGGGGGTTGGGAAGGGAGATATGCATTGGAATTAATGGCTTGGATGCACGATCACCATTGAGGGCGCGATTGGGCCATGTCCGACGATGGCCCTAACCATTGATGTGGACTGTCTCGGGGTTTCCATTCAGATTGGAAGAAATGACCAGCACAGCTGAGTTTGCAGGCAATGGCTTTCACTTCGGAAGGAGTGACGTAGTTCCAACACTCGTCGCAAAGTGAAGGCATAATTGATACAACCCTGGCTAGGATGAAACGCAGCTGGCTTTCCACAAGCACTTTGCACAACAAATTTCGTGGGCAAATGGTGTTACCCATTTGGATTACGAAACTGAATTAAAACTCCGGACCGTGAACCTGGAACCCCTACACCTTCGTGGGTATATGACTGCATACAATAACTCGAGCGCAACGAGGTCCTTGTCCGGAAAAACCTCCCACCCGAAGTCAGTACTTGTTTGATCCGTCTGCCTCTATTTGGAAAAAAGAGTGGCAGGCAACTGAGGAAAATCGGTGATGGCGCCAGATTGTTGTGGGTGCGGCAATCATAGGAGAGAAGGATGATCCCAGCCATGATGAAAAACTTGGCGTTACCTGTTTTTCGTCGCCATATCGTGGCTCGTGAGTTATCGACACGATGGAAGCAAGCGGGATTCCTGCCTGGGAGGGGGTGGGTTGACCGAATCTTCACACTTCATCATGCTA